CACTTTCCTTTTTCTTTTTCCTTTTTCTTTGTACTTTAATTAAATATCAGTATTGGGTAAATACTAAAATAAGTATAATATTTATTACAAAGTGTTCTCTATAATATTCCTAAGAAATTTTTACACATAAGTTTCTCGAATGTGATCGCCAAAATGTTTTAAAATTTTTGGATTAGAAATAATTACTCAAAAGTAGATTTTTATTGAACCTTTCCATTAAAAGTTGATAAAATTTATCTTTTTAAAAACATCATTGGTTAAAAATTAAGAGTCATCATATTTTTTTGGACGTCCCAACAACAGAGAATATGAAAATGGATAAAGCAATACAATCTAATTATTAATTGTCTTATGACTGACCTCAAATTATTTTACAACAGGAGAAATTACAAAATTGCACTTGCGAAGAAGTGGGTGGATCTTATCTAGGTTTTTTTAAATGAAGCTTCGTATCTCTTACTGTATAAAACCACTACGCAAGTGGAAACCAAAGTGGCTTTACAAAACCAGTAGTGTTTTTACAAAACCAGTAGTAAAACCTGTATAAAACCCCTCCAAACTAGCTCCTTCAATCTCCTTACCACACCCTCAAATCCTTTAACCTTCTATTCTGTTTAATTCTCTTGCGCATTCTTTACATTTATTCCGCCTCATCTCTCTTTTGCACCTAGACTCTTTCATCAGAACAAAACATTTCGTATATTTCTTTACTCCACCTCTCTCCAATCCTTAATTTAGCTTAACCATTTTTTCTTCCTCAGAAAAAAAGAGCAGAATTCAGGATTTTAAGCAGAAAAAAGAGTACTGCTGAAGATAAAAAAAATTTGACTGTCAACTGATGGAGTGAGTTTTCTGCAGATAATATAACGTAACTTTTGAGTAAATTTACAAGAATGATGATATTTGATGTTTGCGAGATTTTATACATATGTTTGATGCAGATCTGTTCATCTTTTGTAGGCACAGCAATTATCTACAGATCAATGTACGAACTACCAAGTAAGGTTTACTTTCACTAAGAACATAATCATACTTACTATATCATAAGAAGCACATTCGTTTAATCATTTTTATTTGTATGGTTTGTAGTGTGCAAAATATCCTGTCGTCAATACCAAACTATGGTGTCTTCGGTGCTCTCATTCCATTGCTTGTTGGCGTTTTACAACTGCATGTACAAGGCTCCACTAACTCACTGTTCGAAACGCATCCAATAAATATGTGGATTTTTCTGGTGGCCACAATCATCCACTACTATCGGAAGTTTAAACTTCAATATCAGATTACTCACTCTCAAGTCTGCAATGGAATAGGCTCAGTATCCGGTTCTCTTGCTTTAGCGGCATTAATCTCTGTCATCCCACACTCGAACGGATATATTGTTTTCGTTGCATGGGCTTTAATTGTAGTCTATAAAAAAGCCATAGCTATCAAGGATGCGTTTGATCGGTTTTACCAGAAGATTAGTGGTATGGGGATGGAGCAGCAGGAATTGCGTCGATTGCCAGTGTAAATGTAGCTGATTATTCACGATCAGTTAAAGTTTGAAGAAATTCCATCGGTGGAGACTTGGAGCTTGTTTGTAATATGCATACACGGTGATAAAGATATGGTTACATCACTATTACAAATTAAATGCTAGTCCTAGTTTAGTGTGGCTGCATGCTGTTACAGGGATCCAGGACGTTGGCTGGGTTATACTGGGCTGGTTTGTTGGTTGCTGCAATCCCTGCTTATGGGGTCTGTGGCTGCTGCAGTCCCCACTTTCGTGGCAGATATTTGCTTGGCTAGTGTGATTTTGTTTGCAGTCCCTACTGGTGTGGGCTAAGGTTTTCTGGGTTTTTGGTTTTTCTTGATCTGCAGACTGCAGTTGCTGGGTTTTGTTTTGGTTTCTTTTTGTTATCTCCTGGATTTTGGCAGATTTGTATACTCTATAATAAGAAATTTTCGTATAAAATATCTTATTATAGAGTATATATATATACTCTATAATAAGAAACTTTCGTATAAAATATATATATATAAATATATCATAAAAACCTTTTGGCAACAGTTGGGGGATTAGAACCATGAATGAGTTTAATTACTCCATACATTACACCATCAAACACTCAAATTCTCAAATTAATTGTAATGAGAAATTGAAGGGTAGCTGATGTTGTTTCAATAGAGAGCAAAGATGAGAGCGATTGGTCGTCAAGTTATCAGGTCTCATTCATGAACCCATTAGCAATCGTTTATATCTTAAATTGCTTCCTGGATGGCCACTTTCTGTCTATATAACTATAAATCCACTGCACTTAGAGTTGTTCAGAGCATGAAGTTGTCGATTCGGCCCACGGTGAACTCTATGGAAACAAACGATTTCAGGGATTACGAGCCTTTTTAATGGAAATTGTAATTAAGCACTTTCCAACGTACTGTAAGATCGCTAGCCTGGCCTTCTTGTGCTGGTCCATTTTTCCCGTCCACCACTAAAGTCCAGTGTAAACATCCATCCTTTAGATAAGCCCATAGAAGCAGGCCTAGTAAAGAAGAAAAGCACAGGGAGGTGAACATACTGGGATTCCAAGAACAAAATACCAGTAAGGACCTCATTAGCTTCCCATCAAAAAACTAACCTGCCGCCCAAGAAAAACACGACTTGTGGTTCCAAACAGGATTGTAGACAGTCCAAACTCTCAATTCCTGTTAAACAGGATTCTTCAAAATCTGCACTTGGAACATGCAATCCAATGACACACACGGGAGAGGAAACATAGACCAGCAGCTTTTCCAACCTCCTGCCCAGACAACCCAAAGCTACCTACATAAATGTGCAAATCTCCCACACCATAAGAGAAAACAGTAAAGGTCTGGATACATATACATAAAACCAAACTTAACTCCTTATAAAGGCAAAGCTCCCCCTCTAGCGACTGCCAAAAACCAAACGGCATGATTTCCCACCCTCCAACAAAGATGGCAGAGACTACTAGGAGCAAACCACCAGATTCCATCTCATCCCACCAGTTAACACAAACAGAGGCACTCTTACATAAAGCTCTTGTTATTCCACCTGGTCGACAATCATAGAAAACAACCGAAGTAAAAAAATTCCAGAGAAGGGAAACATGCCCCTGATTAATACTAGATTCATAAAGAACTTCTCTGCATCTCCAAACAAGACGGAGAAGACGCTGCCCTGTTTGGTTATGCACCAAAGATTTAAAAATTGCAAAGAACCAGCACATTCTCAGTCATGAATTCGCACATCTGTCAATATCCACTCAAGTCGCTTGGCAGGGATGCCCCTATCTCCCAAAACCTGGCTAACTCGATCATTATCTTTGAAGTTGATGGTGTGCAATCTAAGCTTCACTTCTTCAAATATCTGACTCTAGATCCTATTATAGTTCCGCCTTTTGCCTTTGAAAAATCTAAGGTTTCTTTCTTGCCAAACCAAATAAACCACAGCCCCCAACAACAAAGGTGGAATGACTGCATTAATACTCTTACCCCGAAATCTAGCCGCACACCAAGTCACAATATTATCCCATCCATCAAAGTTAAAATGGAACTACCCTTTAGCTTGGACGGCTTGGGAATCCCTAGAGCCTCCACATAGAGCACATGCCAAGTTCTCCTCTCCCGACCAGAAACGCATTCTACCCTTGGTGATTAGTTTATGCTTTATGGCCAACCAAAGAATGAAGGAATGACAGGGAATGCACGTGTTTGTCCACACTAAAACACTCCAAGGGACCCTGGAGCTCTTAAGAGAGAGATCGGTCCAAACTTGCCATGAAGAAAACTTCCCTTTGCTACCGTCTCGGTTACGCCAGAAGGTTTTATCAGAAGAAGGGTTGGGAGGTAAAGAAGGAACCTGACTGATAATATGGGGAAAAGCTTGCTGAATATCTTCCGGTCAGAACCAACATTTGTCAAATAAAATATAACTTACCCGAGCTTGTAATCCTAGGCTCGATTGGAACATTGTCCTTCAAGGAACAATCTCTTTCAGGGTGCCTAAGGGTTGCCGGTCATCGTGCCAGAGGGAAGTAGACTGCCCATCCCCAATAACAACTCCAATGTCTCCTAATCCTATCTCGCATCCCAAGCAATTTCCTCCAACTCCAGCTTGCATCCCATGTAACCCGAATATCCCAAAAATTTCTGCCTCCAAGTCTGTAGGTGTGAATCCATTTGACCCACAATGAAGCTTTCCTAGAGACAATTTTCCAGATGTGGCGAACCATTAAAGGTATGTCATTAATTTGCTTATTCATACTGCTTGCTTCTATAAACGGATATAATAATTTATAGTGATCATCTGCAGGAGCCACGAATCAGCTGGCCAAAAATTTGGCTTGTGAATGGGCAAGAGAAAATATAAGGACCAATTCTGTGGCGCCTTGGTTTATCAGAACTACCCTAACTGAACCTGTAAGAACAAGGTACTTTCTATGCTTATGAACATCATCATTAATTGTTTGTACAAGACTAGATGGTTTTGAAATTTGTTCTTCTAGCAGCTTCTGAATGATAAGAACTTATTGGAGGAAGTAAAATGGCGAACTCCGATTGGACGCATCCGGGTGCCAAAGGAGGTGTCATTTGTGTTGATGGAGGATTTACAGTCAATGGCTTCTTCTTCCCCAGAGCATAACTTACAAGAAACACCCAAAAGGCCAATTCACACGAAGTTGCTTGGTGTGCTGAATTGTACATCTTCTGATGATATTCTGTTAAACAAAACCTTGTAATATCGAGGAAGATAACAATTGAAATTACTCTTTGTATGGAGTTATTGGCTACTTGGTGGTTTATTCTGTGAATCAAAGAATTGGAATCCAAAGCTAATGCATTTTAGGAGATCAAATTGTTTGACAAGCCATGCGCGGAATTTTGTCTCATTTTCTTTTCGTAGTTTCTTTTGTGAATTCTGAGTTTATATTTCTTTAAAAGATTATATTACAAAAGGTATATAACCAATACTAATACAAGGTATAAGAGTAATCATGTTAATTAGACAATTGATTATCAAGTCCGTCCAAACATCTCTGTTATTGGGATTAATTTACACTCCAATTGAAACTAATCTGAGACGATCGAGTTTAGGATCATTCTGTTTCTATTTTCATCAGGCATGCTGTTGTGGAGGAATTGGCAGAGCTAGGCGCCATTGTGTATACATGCTCCAGGAATGAAACAGAGCTTAATCAATGCATAAGTGGATGGGAAAAGAAAGGTTTCAAAGTGAGTGGTTCAGTGTGCGATGTATCATCTCGAGCTGAACGGGAAAAGCTAATGAAGCAAGTGTCTTCACTATTTAATGGCAAACTTAACATCCTTGTATTTATATCAACGTCTCCAATTTCAAAAAGTCATTCTGGTTAATTTACTTAATCATAGGACTGTGTATATACAGATAAACAACGTTGGGACAAATATATACAAACCGACTGAAGAGTTCAATGCTGAAGATTTCTCATTTCTCTTGACTACCAATTTGGAGTCTGCTTACCACTTGTCTCAACTTGCACATCCTCTTCTGAAAGCTTCAGGCTCAGCAAGCATTATCTTCATGTCTTCGGTTGCTGGTGTTGTATCTGTAAACGCAGGATCCATATATGCTGCTACAAAAGGCAAGTGATTAATTGGGTTAATCATATTGCAAGATTATATAAAACAGATTTAATTTAGTGAATTATATTGATGAAGTGCAGGAGCCATGAATCAACTTGCAAAAAATTTGGCATGTGAATGGGCAAAACACAACATAAGGACCAATTCTGTGGCACCTTGGTGCATCAGAACTCCCTTAGCTGAAGATGTAAGAATTGCTACGTACTTCATATGCTCATAAGCATAATCGAGTAGATTGTTTTGAATATATCCTTCCTTGTTTATTGATTGCAGTATCTGAGTAATGAGAGATTCATGGAGGAAGTAATACGCCGAACTCCAATGGAACGCGTGGGGGAGCCAAAGGAGGTGTCATCTTTGGTAGCGTTCCTTTGCCTACCTGCAGCCTCTTACATAACTGGACAGACCATTTGCGTAGATGGAGGCTTTACTGTCAATGGCTTCTTCTTCCCACATTAAGAAGCTTAATTACTAAAAGAAACAGCAGAAATGGCTATTGCCCCACTTGTTTTACTAAATAAGTTTCAGCAAGGACCAAGTTGTCTGTGATATGTGAAATCAAACTGGAAATTATTCTAATGAAATATTATATGTATTTTTCTTACCTTATTGATTTGTAGCAGCCACTGGTATATGAGTCATGAGAAATCGTTTTCATGATCAAATGCGTGTTTCAATTTCATTCTCGATCACTCCTCTTTTACTTTATAATTATCGACAGCAACAATATAGACCGAATTCAGTATCAGCCACTTGTGTTTTGGTTTAGTGGTTAAGAGATTCAATTATTGAAGTATCCTTTTCCCCAGTTACTTGGAGAACTCAGATTCGTAACTTGATTGATACAAGTTACACTACTGACTGGCAAATCGTCTAATCCTCAGTATATAACAGTGTATTACAACCTTAAGAAACATTCTACTTCCAATAATAGCAGTTACTAGGTTTGACAAAAATGGCTAAGCCTGATAGCTTTGGCAAGTCCAACAGATGGAGTCTTGAGGGCATGACTGCCCTTGTCACTGGTGGAACCAAAGGACTCGGGTTCTTATATATTCTCTCTTTTTTTATAGATTTCTATTTCATGGACCTTCATGATTGCCCTAACTAATGGTTTGTTTTTATCTATATTGTTACCAAGGCATGCTGTCGTGGAGGAATTTGCAGAGCTAGGCGCCATAGTATACACATGCTCCAGGAATGAATCAGAGCTTAAGGAATGCTTAAGTGAATGGGAAAGGAAAGGTTTCAAAGTGAGTGGTTCAGTGTGTGATGTATCATCTCGAGCTGAACGGGAGAAGCTAATGAAACAAGTGTCTTCGCTATTTAATGGCAAACTTAACATCCTTGTATGAATATCAACTTCTCCATTTTCAAAAGTCATTCTGGTTAATTTAAATAATCATATGACTGACTGTGTATATACAGATAAACAACGTTGGGACAAATATATACAAACCGACTGAAGAGAACAGTGCTGAAGATTTCTCATTTCTCATGACTACAAATTTGGAGTCTGCTTATCACTTGTCCCAACTTGCACATCCTCTTTTGAAAGCTTCTGGAGCAGCAAGTATCATCTTAATGTCTTCAGTCTGTGGAGTAGTATCAGTAAACATTGGATCCATATATTCAATCACTAAAGGTTATTACTGAATTATATTTGTTTCAGTACTATAAATATTAAATACAGCAAATTAACATATACTGACGATGGTGAAGAATTGCAGGAGGCATGAATCAACTTGCACAAAATGTGGCATGTGAATGGGCAAAAGACAACATAAGGGTTAATTCTGTAGCACCTTGGTTTATCAGAACTCCCCTAGCTGAACCTGTAAGAATTACTTTTGTATTTAATTACTTGATATATGTGGTTATAAAAGAAGAATGTTTTGAAATATTTATTGTTGGATGTTTCTTAATGGATTGCAGTATCTGGGTAATGAGAAGTTCTTGGAGGAAGTAAAATGTTGAACTCCAATGGGACGGAATGGGGAACCTAAGGAGGTGTCATCCTTGGTAGCATTCTTGTGCTTACCCGCAGCTTCATATATAACTGGCCAAACCATCTGTGTTGATGGAGGATTTACAGTCAATGGCTTCTTCTTCCCAATTAAGTAAGCAACAACCTTCTTACAAAAACACCTAAAAATTATTAAATAAACCAGTAAAAATCATGTCTTGTCTAGTTTTTTTTGTCTTATGGATATGAACTATTTTATTTTATTTTATTTTGTCAATAAATGATAAAATATCATACTGATAAAAATTGTGGCTCCGTTTGGTTCATTGTTCTGATAATTTTTAGAATAATCTTTTAAAAAAAGTTAAATTGGACAGAGATGGCCAATTAATTAAAGATGAAGAATCGGGTAGGGCACGTGTTGATGGATTGATGGACGAGGAGAATTTGGTGAATTGCATATAATGATAATCTCTAAGCTTTGAGGTTGAATTTGGTTACAGGTGTTGGCTTCATTTAACAACAAATAATTATTATTAATTAAATATTAATCAACTAATTCGGTGGCTTATATTATAATTAAATCAAGAGTTTTTGTAATAAAGGGTTAGAGTGATAGATAATGATAGTGCACGCATATTTTATAATAAATCTTTATATTAATTAATTAATATACACTCTATTTATCTTTAATATAATGCGTCTTTAATTTATTAATTTAAAGATACGTTAGATGCATAACCACACCAAACTCAACGCCCAAATTCATAATTAATTTATCCTATGGAATACTACTCTAAGCTATAAACCAAACTTAATTAAATTAAACATTCATTCAACTAAGAACCCAACACGTCCCTTGACTCAAATTGTATATAATACAGTCAAACCTATAATGTTTCGTGAGTTGACTACTCTATAATTATTTATTTAATTTTAGAGCATCTCTATATTTTATATAAATAAAAAATATATTTATTTATTTCTAAATATAAAAAATAGATTTTTTATTCAAATCGAATAAATTCTTTAAATTTAATATAAATGCTTTTTATTTTTAAGAAAAAGACTTGAGAGAAATGAGAATTAATAAATAAAATACATAAAAACTTATAATTTATTAATTAAAATTAGGATAGAGATAAAATTCGACTCTTTGAATATAAAAAATTAAATTTATTATTTAATTTATATTTAGAAAATAAAAAAATTATTAAATTTTTACTTTATAATAAAAAATTTGGATCGTATTTGACTCACTAATAACATTTAAAACCTACCGTTACTAAACACTAACATTCCTCTTGTTTAACCCGCACTGCTTTCTCCTAACATTATTATTATTATTAGAGTAAACAACATGTTCCCACCCGAGGTTTGACGAAATCCAAAAGTAATACCACTGCTTTCATTTATTTCAGATTGCCACCATTAAACTAACAGTGTTAGTCACTGTTGGATTCAGAAGAGGGCAATTACCAAACTACCCTCCCATCTTCGTCNCATTGCAATGCTGGTTTACATTAAATCACGAACACATTGGTTTTGGTTTCGTTAAGGTCAATCGATCTTTCTGGTTGGTATGAGTTTTCGTATCAACAATATGAAACATTTATAGCAAATTATAAATCCTATTTCATTTCACAATCATGAACTATCAAAACATCATCTAAATATGATTTATCATATTTATAAATAGAAATATTCATCAAAGTAAAAACTCGAGTGAGCACATAAAAAAATTTAAAATATCAAACTTTTAAATTTTTTAAATTTTATTCATTTCTAATAACATGAAAATAAAAATTAAAGGTATTAAAAAGTTTCACTTAACTGGATTAAATTGTTGGTATGCTATTGCTATAGTATTGAAGGTTAGGTAATACTAATAGAGTAAACGACATGTTCCCACCCGAGGTTTGACGAAATCCAAAAGTAATACCCCTAGTTTCATTTATTTCAGATTCACACCCTTAAACTAACAGTGTTAGTTACTATTGGATTCTGAAGAGAGCAATTACCAAACTACCCTCCTATCTTCGTCTTCTTCTTTATCTCCCCCTTCTTCTCTTCTGTCGCTTTTCTATCCCTCCCACAGCCACAGCCACAGCCACAGCCACAGCCACAACCACGCTCTTCTCTCCCTCCCGAAACCCCAAAGTCACCACCACCACCACCCACCGCCATTCCACCCATCTACTGCCATTACAATCCCTCACCACCACCCGATTGCAATCCCATCTTCGTCTTCTTCTTCATTTCCCCCTTATTCTCTTCTGACGCTTCTCTCCCTGCCATGCTCCTCTCTCCCTCCCAGAACCCCAAAGTCACCACCACCACCCACCACCATTCCACCCATCTACCGCCATTGCAATCCCTCACCACCACCAGATTTCGGTCCCATTTGGCTCAATCTCAGCTCTGTTGGCCGTCCTCATCATCACCACAAACACCACCACCCTTCCACCTCCAAAACCTCAATTTTCCCCAACAGTGGTAGAGGGGAAGCAGTTGGTGGAGAGAAGAGAAAAAGAAAGAGAGAAAAAAAAGAAGAGGAGAAGAAGAAGAAGAAGAGGAATCTGGTGGAGAGAAGAGAAGAAGAAACAGATAAGAAAAAGAGGAGAAGAAGAAGAAGAAGAAGAAGAAGAAGAGGAAGAATCTGGTGGAGAGAAGAGAAGAAAAAGAGAAAGAATCTGGAAAAGAGGAGAAGAAGAAAAAGAAAAGGAAAAGAGGAAAAGAAGAAGGAAAGCAGTCAACGGTGGTGAGTTGAGAGAAATGGGTTTTGACACTTTTACCCTTAACCTTTTAAAATGAAAGAAACAGCGTTAGATTAAGGGTGGGTATCTGAAATAAATCAAACCAAGGGTATGAACCTTGGATTTCGATAAACCTTAGGTGGGAACATGTCGTTTGCTCATACTAATACCATATCATAAGGATGAAAGTGTAAATAGTCCAAATTTAGATTATATTTGTGTGCAATGTGCATCACGATTCCCTATTTTACGATTCTCACGAGACCAGTGGTGGTGACCGAGGACTTTAGACTTTAGACTTTCCACCGCGGCGTGTGTGTCACGTGTGACGTGCCTGATTATGACTTTCTTTGAATATTTCCAAACATTGTCTTGGTATTCATTTAGTAAAGCTGCTGGAACATTATAATTTGTGAAGACATTATTAATTTTACATATGAGGTTTATAATGATTCTTTTAACGTGGGAGACCATAAATAGATCAAATTTTAATAATGTTAATAAATATATTCATAGGATAATTAGATGATAAAAAAATGTCTTTTTCATATACATGCTAATGTTTTTCTTATTACATTAAACTAATTTTTATATTAACTATAATTTGAAAAACATAACGTCATATGTACTACAAAATAATATTTTGAATCTAAAGCTTAGTTTGAGATTTTTGTAGTTTTTCTCTTAATTACGTTTAAGCCAACTTTTAAAATAATTAGCTTTAGATAAAATCCATG